TGGTCTTACAGTCAGACCTCTGTATGAAGTACTAAGAGTATTCAGGAGTCCAATCTAAAGGTTCAGAATCTCTTCCTGACAGGCTTCTGAGCCTCAAACTCAAACCTAACTACCACTTGAGGTTTGCCAAAGTTAAATAAGCTCTTCAATTTGTATCTACATGAGAAACAATGAACTAGGCTAGGAGTGCTTACTCTTAATGTAGTATCAACACTATGTCTAGGGGCATATTTTTCAAAGCAATTAGACCCGGGATAGCTGCCTTGCCTGAGGGCAGTTGCAGCCACCTGTGAACTGTTACAAGAGGCTGACAAGTTTGCACTAGTGCTACCCACCACAGCATGTGCTCACCATCATGGGTTAACTCTGCTGGAGCAAAAGTGGTTACTGGCTGCTGGCAGGAAGGATGGGCAGATGCCAGGCTACTGTTCTAGATGATACGAATGTTAAGGTGTCCTCTACTTTAAATCCAGCCACTCTATTACCTAGTGACACAGAGATGATACCAACTTGCGGGGATTGTCTGTAGTTAAGACAGTTGATGCAAGCAGGCTAGATTTGGCTGATCAACCTATGGAAGACTGGGACACAGAACTCTTCACTACTGGTACCAGCTTCTGGAACAAAGTGAGAGACAATGCAGGGTATGGGGTAGTAACTGTCCAAGGGACAACTGAAGCAGATGCCCTGCCACTTGGGACTCGGCACAAAAGTCTTAATGTACCATACTCACTGGAGCCCTGATTCTGCTGGAGAACAAGTGAGTCAATATCTATGCTGACTCTAGGCCTTCATGATGGCTCATGCACATGGGGCTATTTGGGAGGATCAGCAACTAGGTGACCTCAAACAACATGGATATAAAATCTGCATCTCAGATTTTACAGTTATAAGAAGCAGTGCACAAACCTTGGCAGGTCTCAATAATGCACTGCCCTTGTCTTCAGAAAGGGGATGAAGTTGTGGAAAAGAGAAACTGGCCAATCAAATGGTAAAACAAGTTGGCAAAACAAAACACTAACAAGGCCCCTCCTGCCCCAAATAACCTTATCAGAATTTGCACCCAGGTACTCAGGACTATAAAAGGGCAAAGGATTGGCATTTTATTAATGAACCCCCTCAAGGATGGAAGGTGATGAAAAAGGCATACCTTTAATACCTAAGGCATGAGTGTATTCTGTATTAAAACAAGAACACCACAGAACGTACTTCCAACAAGGCACCACAATTTATAGTGGCTACAAAAACAAAAAACTGGTCCTGGACTACGACAGTGGACTCTTTGTCATTGGGTCTGATCTGCACACAAACACCCATTGTAGCCCAGAGTGCAATGAAGGGCACCCATATAGGGGAGACTGTCTTCTGAGGATTTATTTTACTCGGATGCCAGGACTATCTTAACTTCAGGTATTTGTTGGTGTTTGTGAACATGTTTCCGGGATGGGTAGAAGCTTTCTCTATTCAGACATACAAAGGACTCACATTCTGCTAAAGGAAATTATACCAAGATATGGACTGCCAAAAACCATACAAAATGACCATGAACCAGCATTCATTTAAAAAAAAAATCACGCATCAGGTTTCAGAAGCTTTGGATGTCAAATAGAAAGTGCATTCAGCATAGAAATCAGTCAATGGGAAAAACTGACAAAATGAATCACACTTTAAAAAGATCACTATGTTGTCAGGAAACTCGCCTGACCTGGGATAGAAATTTACTGATTATTCTGTTACAGATACATGAGATCCCTAGAAGTAAGATCTGTTTAAGTCCTTTTGAAATTCTGTATGGTAGACCATTTCAGGCCTCATCCTTGGGGTGATACTTGAAGATTTAACATAATCTTTACAAATTGTTCCTTTTCAATATGATCAAGTATTGTGGACAGCCAGAGATATGAAAAGTTGTGCTCTATATGTGTAATATGCATCGTAATGCATTCTGCTGTTGTATAACAAATTAAAATTTAAAAATCTGTCTCTTAGAGGTTACTGTGTGCCTCTGATGTCCTATTGCATGACTTCTAATCTGGAAACAGAGTACCCTTAAAGATGTGGAGGGAACAGAATCTAGATAACCAATTTATGCCAAGTGTACAACATGATCAGTCTTCCTTAGAATGGGTGGGAATTGAACCATAAATCCATTGTACTCGGATAAAATGAACTCCACTATCAACATCGAGGAGACAGGGAAGACGACAAGAATGACTACTCCTGCCAAGTTGTAGATGATCTTAAGCTGCTATTTGAGAGAGACAAGGCCCATAGACCATCAGTAGAAATTGTACCAAACAATGGTAACCATTGGGATTGGGAGAGTTTTGTCTAAGCTGTTTCCATCCACAAAGAACTGAACACCCTCTTTGAAAAGCATATGGAAGGTTGCCTCCTGAGTCTCCAGGTTATTGACCTTTTAAAGCACCTCAGAGTTGCCTTGGGGGGTGTCTCCCCTGCAAGGCAAGGACATTAAAGGCCAAAAGGATAAAATGTTGAAACCAACCTGTACTTCAAAAAAACCTGTGCTACCATAAAAACTAAATGGTTATGTGTATATCCCAGATAATTTGGGAAATGTCTCTTTGGTCCTTGTGGGACTTACTTGCTCAGGGAAAGGCCCCGACTGATGAATCAAGGCTCAACCTAAATGCATGGTTCACATCTTGGTTAGGGTAAAGTCTTTTAAGACTTGCTCTCCCAGGGGGCTGGGAGGCCATGATACTATAACACTTCAAAATGAGTTGCCCTGGCTCAGCCAAGAAAAGAAATTCAAAAGGCTTCTTTGATAACCAGGCCAGGAGTCTGGATGCCCATAATTCTTTCTCTTGCTGGATTGTTCCAGTACTTCTAGTACTTGTATTGAATAAAAGTGGAGAAAATGGGCATCTTTGTCTTGTTCCAGACTCAAATAAGGCTTTCTTTTTTTCTTGTTCATTCTAGTTAAGGGTTTTTCAATTTTGTTCATCTCTTAAAAAAAAAAAATCTTCATTTCATTGGGGTTTCTGAATTTTCTATTTCTGCTGTTTTTTGTGTCCTCTAATCTTTCATTTTTTTTCCTTAAGGTGCAATAATAGATTGTTAATTTGAGAGTTTTCTGCTATTTTTACATTGGCACGTTGCAATAAACTTCTTAGTACTGCTTTTGTTACAACCCACCAAAATGTGTGGGATACGTTTCCATTATCATTTCTTCCAAATTTTAGAAAATTTCCTTGATTTATTCATTGATCCATCAGTTGCTCAGGAGTATGTGGTTTAAGTTTTAAGAACTTGGATACTTGATTTCCCATTTTATTGCATTATTATCACAAAAGATACCTGATATTATTTTGATATTTAAAAATTTGGTAAGACTTGTTTTGTAGCCTGCCATAGGATCTATCCATGAGAATAGATGTTCCATGTATTGGAGTCTTTGGTATATTAATATTTTCTTTCTATATTATGTGTTCTAATATTTGATGCATCTCATCATTATTTACTCTTATTGAATTGACCCCTTTATTATTATACTTTATTTGATGATGGAAAAGCATAATGATTTCCCATGTAGGAAAGAGGTTTAATTTATTTTTTTTTTTTTGAGGGAGGAAATATTTATAGATAAGTAGGTTTTCTATGTTATGTCACTCTGGCATTTCTGAGTTAAAGCCAATAGGGTGTGATGTTATCTTTTAAAAATATATTGTAAGATTTAGCTTACACATTCCAAAAGGATTTTTGCATCTGTGAAATGAGTAAGATTGGCCCTAATTTTCCTTCCTCTTTCTATTCTTGTCTGATTTTAGGATCAAGGCTACTCTCAGCTTAACCAAATGAGTTGGAGAGTATTTCCTCTTCTTTTTGCTCATTGAAGGCATTTGTATAAGATTGTTCTAAATCTGTTCTAAAAAGCTTGGTTTCACTCTTCTAAAACCATATGTCCTGGTGTTTTTCACTGTGGAAAGTGCTGCCTTCTTTAGCATATGGAAGACACTGGACTACTCTCTTTTGGCTCCCATAGTTGCTGTTACAAGGTCTACTCTTGTTCTAATTTTAATTTTCTTTGACAGTCATCTCTTTTTCTCTGGTTTTGGTCTTGTCTTTGGTGGGTTGCGTTTTCTTTACAATATGTATAAGTGTGTGTTCCTTTATTATTCTGTCTGATGTAGATCATGCTTTCTGTTTTGTAAACTGATGTCTTTCAATCTATTCTGGAAAAATTTCCTCTCATCCATTATACATTTTCTTAACCAAATTACAAAGCCTCAATTTGTTAATGTTTAAAAAAAAAATCAGGGCTGAGGTTGTGGTTCAGTGGTAGAGCGCTCACCTACCACATGTGAGGCACTGAGTTCAATCCTTAGCACCACATAAAAATAAATGAATAAAGGTATATACAATTAAAAAATAAATCAACCCTTATTTATTTAAGCCACTATAGGTAAATTTTGTCTCTTGCAGCTAAATGTAAACACCAAACAAATTTAGAGGATTTGTTTGGTAATAGTTATTCGCTGAAAAAGAAGTTGGCTAGATCAATTAATGATTTACAGCTGTCAGTTTTCAGAGTTAATTTTAGAGATATAAAAAACTAAGTTGGGATATTATGAAAATGTAATAATTAAATAAAAACAATAGTCTGAATGAAGTTATAATAGTGATAAAACTTCCTTATATTCAAAGGTCACATCTTAATTCATCTTAAGCCCTGCTACAGTCCCATATACTGCTCAGTACCCCCAAATTTTAAAAAAAAGATGGTCATTTAATACAGCATCAAATGGAATCAGATCTCTGTTACACGTGTTTTTTAATGTCTAAAGTAGACGACCAATTTCATTTAATTAGAGTACTATGGGTATCCTCAGGCCAAACCTGATTAATTCATCTCCTAAAAATAATTATTACCAGACATTAGGAAAATATTATGCATTTTAAATAGAGTTAGCAACACTTTAAAAATAGTTTCTAAGACTGCATATTTGCAGACACTATTTCAAAGTACACTTTCCTACCTCCATGACAATGATAAAAGCCAGCTTGGCGGCGATCACATGCCAATAGTAGATATTGTGTTTATATTCCTGTGGGTGTCCTGGCGGGTTTCGGAAATCACGATACCTGGAAACAAAACAGAGGCATATTAGGAGACAAGTTATTTTCATCAACTACTGTAAACAAGGGCCCTATTTTAAAAAGGAGTTGTGTTTAGTGCAATATTCTTTTAGTTGGGCACTATAGATTTTCTCCCAGATCTCACTTTGGACACAAAACTCAGGGGGAGAAAACCCACTGCAATAATAACTCCTTGAATATGTACTCAGAAAAAAAGACAATTTAGCCTATTTTCAGGATCATGTTTGTTAATTATTTATATAATGTTGTTTGAGTTGGCTCAGTCACGGGGCCATCTCTCTGTACAAAGCACAGAGAGATGCCTCCTCATTGTGACTTTTTAACCTAATTTCTTGTCATCAGATGTCCTGTGTTATTGTTGTAGACTTAGAAGAGTTGATTCACTGATTAGAATTATGTAGAGTTTAAAAAAAAAAAAGCAGGTTCAGTGTAGGATTCTAAAGAGGTTGTACCAAGTATAACTTGGAAACAACATTAATTTTAGTTGGGTCGTTGGTTGTGTTGAGAATTTGAATCAGTGAAGCCTTTGAAGAATTAGACTAAAGGCATTTTAAAGCCTCCTTTAGGTGTGTAGGGCTCTATGAGTAGTGATGTTTACTGTCCATAGTTGATCTTACCAGTCTTTAAAACCAATGCAGAGAGATTTGGAATACTTTTAGAGAATATTGTTAGGTATCTACATCATTTACCTTTACATGTTTGTTAAATGAAGGTTCTTGTATACCATTTTGTATCTTCAGATTGTTCTTGAATAATAAATTAATCCTAACAATTAAATGATCTTGATTTCTGGACATCTTGAAATTTCTCCATTTCTAAAATATGAGTTTCCCCCGGATCTGTTTCCCTGAAACCACATGAAATTCTGACCTTCCAGTCTTGCTTTTTTGGTTTGGTTTAAAAATCCTAACCCAAGTCTTTCTTACCTTTTTAGTTTAATTGCAAAGAAAGATATGTGGGAAATATTTCTAGCAATTTGACTTAAATGACATACACATACACACACACGCCCTTTTCAAGATTACATGACTTTTTAAAATAGATAGCAAAACTTGCCTGCATGTGGTATGGTCACCAAGCCCAGAGAACGAATCTCCTTTGCTTTTGTTTTTGAAGTCTGCAATATTGAAGATGGAGAGAGTATTGCTGATGTACCCCTCCATAGTATAGTGAGTGTGGTCCCCATAGGGAGGGATGGAGAAGGACCAGTAATACACCAGGCGGGGGATCATGTCTGATGTGAAAGCAATGATCATGGCCTGTGTTGGGAGGAAAACAATAAAAGAAGCACTAATTAGAGCTTTTGTTGCTATGATTAACAGATATGCTAGAATTACTATTTTCATCAAATTGCTTTTTTTTTTTTAACCAATATGATTCTGCAACCTGAACACTTGGAAAAATGAGAATTCATACCCCATTTGATTCCAATGTATGATATGTCAAGATCATTGTATTGTCATGAGCAACTAATAAAAAAACCAAAATATTCAGAGATAATCTTTCTTAAATGTAAAATGAGTATAAAGTGAACGTCCTAAAATCTTCAAGCAATAAACTTAAAGTAGAATATTATTTTCTTTTTGGTCTTCAATTCTAAGGGACGGTCTACAATTCAAATGCTAAGGCCTGATAGTTGCTTATTATGCTTCTTAAATATAATAAACACACTTATTCAAAAATAATTGTAGACTAAGATATTGTGGATGACTTTAGTTGCTTGCATATATTATGTAAATTAATATTTTTCAAAAGTTGAGATAAATGTTCAGTCAACTTTAGAGCTCTATTTGATATTCTTTCATGATTTGGATTTAGAACACTGTTGTAGATACAAAACTGTTATTTTCATAATATTGACCTTAGTATTATATCAATTACTTCTTCTATAAATAAGTTATATAAAACTAATTTTCCCACTTCTCATAAAAATAGAATGTAAATTGCATAAAATATATTTTTCTGATATAAATTTAAATAATGGCATTCAAATTTACACTTCCCCACCCCACCCATAGTATCTTGACTGATTATTTTTTTAAAGGTTGACTTGTCTAAACAAATCTTATTTTAAACTTATTCTTCTGTTTAAACATATTCTTCTGTTCATTAGATCAGTAGAAAACAGGAATTTTTATTTTAATACAATGTGGGTGACAAGAAATTATATTGGAGTTGTTCCATTCACATAGTCCAGCAATGATGTCGGTGTTGTTACATCTAGTGTTTAAGCCTCCAAACTTGGTTTTAAAGAAGGGAGAGAATATACTTTAATTACATAGAATTTGGTTTAAACAAAGCTAAATGAGGTCGTCATGTTTTGAGATCAACATGACTTTTGATAGTATTCATCTAAACATATGGTTTAGACCTAGTGAGACCACAAACCAACAAATAAGATCTCAGGCAAAGCAAGAAAAACAATTAAGGGACTTTTATATTGATAAATTTCCCTTATTAGAATAAGCTTTGTCATTCCCTCCAATGTGAAAAATCTGTGTGTGTGCACGCGCTTATCAGTAATGAGGTGAGCAAGAATGTTACCCTTTTCCAGATTTCAATAGATTAAATTTTCCTGCTATTTAACTCAACCATCCTTTTTATAGTATCCCCTGCAGATGTGCTTCAGGAAGCTACAAAAATTCCAATGAGGAAGATAATTCTATTGTCTTCTGACAAGATACCTTTCTGTCCTGAATTGAGAGATGTGCTACAAGAGTACAAATAAATGCAGTGTGCTTCATTCCCCGGGCTGCACACAATTTTCCATTTACATCAAAATAAATTAGAATTGGTCTTCAATAGCAGATGCTCTGGCATGATACAGCAATGTCAATTCGGCTTATTTATTGAACCAGCAGCTTTAAAATGAATGGTTTTATACCAAACTCCAGCTTGATGCCCACTCTCACCCCTGGCGGCTGTTCTTCCTTCTATATACATTAGGTTGTGGATTACACACGATGTGTTTGAGGGATTGAGATTGTATGTGTGAAGGGATACAATATATGTTTAATGCTCATATTCACACACACCTGTGTGTGTGTGTGTGTGTATATCTATCTCTCTTTATATATACACACACATGTATACTGCACCTTGGAAGTGTAGTAGATCCCAATAATGTGGGAAAAAGGATTAGACATAGATTAACGATACACATGTGATAAGTTTTCCTAGGGTAAATTGTAAGAAAATACAGCTGTTGGACAGGAACCTGTAACACCAATTAGCTGGCATGTACACACACACACACACACAGCAGCTTTGGAAAGTCAGTAAACCTCCATCTGTGCTAATGGAGTAGAGCCATGGCATGGATACTGGGAAAAGATGCCTAATACAATCAGACTGGAATGCTTGAGGAATGGGGAACTTGAGTCAATTGAATTTTCTGGTTGTTGAAGGTCAAACAAAAACCCTTTTAGTTTCAAACCTTTTTGCTGAAAATTTTCCTAAAGCATACAAGTCCATGTTCCTGCCCTGCTTAGTGTACTACAGCATATTGAACATGACAGATCCAATTCTTTTATGATTGTGGAACTTGAAAGGCCTTTCATATTTCTAAACATCAGTCTTCATTTTGAAGCACAGTAGATGTTGAAGGTTCAGGGTATTTGGGTGAAGGGAAACTGACATACTCTATCAGTTGGATTTTGTGTGTAATTTGTAACTTCTTCCAAAAAGTAGAGGTAGCATGCAATTTAGATAAAAATTGAGGGTTTTGGGGTGGGTAGTAGGTGATAGCTGGTTCCAAATAACTTGTGTGATTATATACAATTGTAAACAGTCTACAGAATTTTATAATCAGTCATTATCTATTTCACTGCATAATCACTGCAGATTTTACACTTTTTTTTGGCAAAAGAGGGTTACAACTATTATGTGAAGCTTTTAAAAATATTGTGCTGGTATTACATAAAAATAATTTATTACTAAACTGTCTTTGGGGCAAAATTAGGAGGCATGGAATAGTTAACATGTTGGTGACAATTATATGGTGAAATACAGTTTTGGGGTTTTTGAAGTACCTGTCAGAGGCTTCAGAGTCATTGTTAATGATGTTGGGTAATGAAGATAAAACAAGAGCAGGTAATATTCAATAAGGACCAGGCTCCATGCAGTTCATGCATTATTTCATTGAATAATTCCCTACACACAACTGAGTGGTTGCGGAATTCATTTTACAAATGATAATGAGGCTCTGAATTGCTTCCGCATGAACCAAGGTTCAGTGTGGGAAAGCAGAGCTTAGGCCTACCTCACTCTGTAGCCTACAATGCTCAGGAACTCCCCTCCTCCAGAGCCTGGCTGTGGGTACTCTGATTTCTGTTCTGTAGAGGTTCATGGGAAGGGCTGGGGACTCTTAATGCAGGCTAGAAACAACTGAATGTCCCCTCATAACTGGGACCCATGCAGGGCATGAGGCTGCCTCAGTTAATGACCAGTGAGGCTAGCAAAGACAAAGGGGTAGGGTGGGAAAAGGGCTGAAAGCCACCTGTAACCCACCTCCTTGAAGAACTATTACCCTGGAGACAAGGAGGGTAACACAATTAGGAATGCACAAAGTGCTTAGACTTCATCAAAGTTAATATTTTAAATTGGTGTTTTGGAATATATAGGAAAATATGAAGGGATGGTCTCATTTCTGGGTCCTAAAACTCTAAATGAATACATTCCCACGTACATGATAAAAGCACCTTTTGATAACTCCCTCTATAATTATGAGGGTTAAAAATGTTAGGAATATGATAATAGTAATAAGACTATTTAATCGAAACATTTTAGCAAATGAGAGACTATAGTACATTTGTAGTTGGTCTTAACTTGGTAAATAAATAATTATAAGCAAACAATGTTTTTAAAAGAATAATTAGTTACATAGCCTATAATAACTATGTTGCTCATATGCAATGATAGACTTGGCACTGTCCCATTTTATAAAGTACCAACCATTTCATTCCTAAAGTAGCATCCTAATGCATTTTTGGACATTTTAAGGTCTTAACTCTTTAAGCTTAGGTCTACTCACATTGGTCACCACAGCCAAAATCGCTATTCCTTGCATGATGGGCTGCCACGCGCCGATGTCTTGGGCCTTTTCTGGTACCATGCGTCTAAACTGCGTAGTCAGTTTCCATGCATCCACTCTTATTTCCAATATATTGTTCACCAGAGCCAACAGAGGAGCCAGTGGAAAAGAGGCCACAAATAAGGTGACGAACCCAAACTGAATAACTGTCAATGGAATGGACACACATCATGGAGTGGTGGATGGATGGAAAGACAATATTTTCCTTTACTTTCGTAAAGAAAGAGAAAGGCAAAGAACTCGATCCCAAAGAGAAAACACATCCGTGGTCAATAACATTTGTTGCTCAACAGTGAAACAATTTAAACAAAACACAAATATGAGCTTTCTGGAAAGATGATTAAATACAGCCTGTTTCTTGCACTTATATTCACTTAATAATAGGAATATGCTGAAAACGACTTCATCAACCCTAACTACTTTAATAAACCCGAGACGTTTTAAGTACTTTATTTATTCTCAGTGTAGAGACAACAAAATGTTGGAAAATGATTGATTTAAGATTAAAAAAGAAAAATGGTATGGAAGCATCTAACAAGAAACAAGAAATGTACTGTCGGGAAGGCTGTGCTCAAAGATGTTGGAGGAAACAAACAACTGAACGAGCTCCCCTAAGTCTGAGTGCAAAGGCAGAGCCTTCAGAGAATCTATTATTACAAATCATAGAAAATACGTGTGGTCAAGGTGTTTCAACCACACATAATCCTCCTTTAGGAATCGTCCTCGTGAAGTTGTTACAATCTATGGGTCCTGACACATCAAGACACCAGTGGAAGCTCAGAAGTTCTTTTCTCCTTTTCTGTAACTTATATGACCTTTGTTTAGGAGGGGAGCAGGGATTTGGGGGGGAGGAGGAGGAAGAAAGAAAAACCAAAGATCTAGAAAAAAAACTTTTGGTTTAGGGCTTTTCTTCTCACAGGCAGATCTTTAGAGGGAACGTGTACAGGTGTGGAATTGAGACTGGAGAACAGGAAAACATTATTTATAGCCCCTTTCAGCATTTGCTCAGACAGGGAGCAGGGACAACTCTGGCCAGGCCAGGTGAGGCTGCAGCAGTTGTGATTAGGTAGGAGGAGCTGGCATTTGCCTCAGGTCTAAGAGGCCAAGATCTGTTGTAGAAAGGTAGGGCTGAAAAGACAAGTCACACAGGCCGGGGAGAAGTGTTCATGTTCATAGAAGTCAGACAAAGGGCCAGAATAGGTAATGTCAGAGTCAGCAGTGGAAGCAACATTAGTGATATCAGTGCTTGTGTCTGTGATTTACTTAAACCTCGATATACTCATCAGGCTTTGGGGCCAGGCAAGGACAAGAAATGTGGGGAGTGGGTCAGAGTCAACGGTGGTACATTGGCAAGTGTGTCCTACTGAAGGTGACTGCTCACAGCTGCCATGTTGGAGTGAGGGCCCGATGTTGCTAGATCTGATTGTTCAAGAAAGGCCAGAAATTAGGATTTTATTAGCAATAAATTCAGTTAAATATCCAGATAAGATATCATTTATAACAATGAAAGCACAGACTACTTGAGAATAAATTAATAGGTAATGTTAAGACTTATGATAATTGACTTAAAAACAATGACGATTGAATGAATGGTAGGATATGCTAAGACTCAAATTTGGGATATACCAAAATTTTCTCCACAGAATCATTTAGAATTCTAATGAATTCAGTTGATAATCCCAAATGGATTTTTTTTTTAAAGCCAAAAGGTGATGCTAGAGTTCAAGAGAGATAAATAAACAGTTAAAAAGGAGGAGGAATGTTTTCCCTGACAGTATTAATACAGGACATTCTGAAAAAGAATAATAAAATGAGAACAGCTCTAGGAGTTACTAAAGTATGCTATAATACTACTATAATTGAAACGGTGCAGAACTAGTGCATGAATAGATAGTAAGTATGAATTACACAGAATGGTTTTAAAGAACAGATAAATATTCATGGGATTTACAATCAGCATTCAAATATTTGAGCAAGTAGCTAAGTCATTGGAAAAACTGTCTCTTTTGACTCCCAAATAAATTCCTGATGAATTAACAATTTTATATTTTAAAGAGGCAAAAGAAAAACACCAACCCAGTGTGATCTGTTCTGATATTCAAATGAACAACTTTATAAGTGTCTTCTTAAACACCACCTCCAACAACAACAAAACTAATCATTTCAGTAAGGCAAAAGCACCTATTTTTAAGACAAAAACAACTCCTCATGATCCTATGTTACTCTCTAATTCTTCCTCCTTCACTTTACAGTCAGGTTTCTTGAAGGAAGCATCCACTGTTTGTTCCTCCACCATGTATTCCCTCTTCGAAGCCCCCAAATCCTGCTGTGGTCCTCACCACTGCACGGGGCCTACTCTTGTCAACTTTGCACTGATTGCTTATTCCAAAGCTCAAGCACGTTCAACTCTGTTTATTTGATCATTCTTCAGTTTCTGACATGGTCAAATATTCCCCTCTCCATGGAACATGTTTTCCTTGACTTTTGTTTTACTTTAATTTTAAAAATCAAGTCAAGTCATATGAGGAAAAAATAAAAACCTCTAAAAAAAAAAAGCACCCCCCACTATTCTAGCAATTAAGTAGAGGCTTTGGCTCTGACATTTTCTGCCTGGTTTTCATTATGCCCCTTTGTCATTATGGCTTTTCTGACACCAGCTACTTTCCCTATTCCCACCCTAAATATTCAGACTCCTGGAAGGTGTTTTAACAATTTTATTCATCATCTCCCCTACAAATCGCCTCTATAACACTTATCAAACTTGTCTCCCTATCTCTATTGCAATGCCTATGTCCTCCGTTTGGGCTCTTATCACTTCTTGTCTGGGCTACCTGCTGCTGCCTTGTGGATTATCTTCCACCAAATATGGACCCCATCCAAAGGAATATCTTCTATTCTATTGCCAGTATAATCTGGTTTCTTTCAACATAACATGACACAATTCTCTTATTTACCAGTATTCTAACAGATGGATGTTTCCTTAATAGTAAAGTTCAAGGCTCCTGGACAAGCATATGATAAGGCCCTGGCTTACCTGATTTTCCCAACTATGGATCCTTTGTTCCAGCCATATTTTGTCTACTTGTCATTCTTACAATGAATGTTCAGTGTTTGTGCCTTTTTACTTTAAAATGTGTCTACTCCTCCACATGAAACATCTATTCCCTTCACCATACTTTAGATAACTTCCATTTTCCCTTCTAAATCCAGTTCAAATATTATCTGCTCTGCAAGTCTGATTTGTATTCTTAATAATATTTAGGGTGCTAAGCTCCATGAGGGTTGGAACCAAGTCTTACCTTGGTATCCCTAGCAATTGTTAAAGTGTTTGACACAAACTAGTGCTCAACAAGTGTTTACTGAGTAAACCATGAGACAGGAAGCTTACCAATCCTCCCCAGTTACCTAGCTGTCATTCTGGAAAGCTCAACCTACAGGTGGTAGACAGGAGGGCAGGACTGAGTCTTGAAGGGTAGTGGGGGCTCTGGTGGGTATGCAGAGGAGGGAGAAGAGGAAGGGATTTGGTGCAAGGAGATGTGGAAAATCTGCTGACACTCATTGCCATAAGTTAAGTGGAGAAAAAATAATATTGGTCAGAGTCATTGTTTTAATGACTTAAAAAACTTACTTGGAGATGGATCAAGTTAATACAGCAAGGTGAAAGAGGTAGAATCGGACACAGGTGGAGCTCACTTTGTCATTTTAGTGCACTTCACTATGGTCCCTTCCCCCTCGGAAGGTGTACCAAATTGACGAGAGGCTGGCTGTATTGTTCAGTACTCTAGGTACAGAATATCATCTATGGTTTCCAGATCTTATTACTGACACTGTTTTTCTTTTGTTTTCTAAGTTTTCAGTGTCAGGACCCAACACTTTGAAATTATTTGGGAGGCAAAGTTTCTCAAAGAGTGGTAGGAAATTCACTAAGAAATAAAAATTCCACTCAAAAAATCACAGGCCATACCATACACGGTGTAATGGGTGGGGCAACATAAAGGTAAATCCACTAACGGTTGTAGAAATGCTCCAAAGTCACTTAAATATTTGTGAATACTAGGCTCCAGTCTTGGGTGTTCCAAGGGAGGACTGAAAGACACAGAGGGCTCGGTAGCCACCTCCAGTGTTATTGGTCCCACATGGAGAGAGGCATGAATACGATCATGGTAGCGAGTGCCAGTAAGGCCTAGAGGAAGGAAGCCACAAGGCACTGTGAAAAGTTGAGGGGCTCTGTGGATGCTCATCAGGAATTGTTCAGGTAGAAAAGAAGGGAAAAGGATGGTGGAGTCCTGGGTCCTTGGCTGGAAGATGCTTCCCAAAGCAGTAGGAGCCCTAATTAGAAAGGTAGCTGGAGGTATCATTAGTGAACACGGGGAGACTGGGACAAAGCGGGCTGTGGTGGTGCAGCCATTCCCAGAGGCACAAAAACAATTCACAAGGCACTTGAAATTCTATCTTCCACATCCTAGAAGGACAAAAACCAGATTCACTCCTCTGTTGAATATACAGTAACAGACAGCCTATGCTCAGAAACTGATTACGTTTTCTAAGTTGTCTGGTATTATTTAGATAATTGGAAAACAACTGAATAAATCTAAAAACCTGTTTATAACAGCTGTGTTATTCTATCTTTTCTCCTAGGGAAGGACAAGGCCAAATCATTTAGCTCATAACTATTTTAATAAGCCTGTGAAAAACTAAAAGTCTTATCAACTCCCTAAAGCACGACTATATAACTTTTCTTCTCAACACATTTATTTGATTAATCACCACAGAAAAATAACTTTGTTTTTCTAAGTTTTCTTTTGGGAGGGAGGTTAAAATAACAAATGATATTTTACATCAGAATGCTGTTGTTATTAATGCCGATAATGGCTCCAATAAGAAATATTTATAATTATGACTCATTTTGAAATAACGGGTAATTGTCTTGCAGGACTTTTGAAAATAAACAGAATGAATAAATATAGCTTCTATATTATGTACTGCAGCTACACCCTTAATAAAACCTGAGTACAAAGAACAAGGAAAACAAAAAAGAAATTCAAATTAGACCCTGGGCTGCTGCAAAATATTGTTGACTGAAGAAGCCACAAAATGAACCTTTTTACTCACTGAAGAAAGCGGATGTGTTTCCATGTATAATGTATACTTTTGAAAGCAATTATTATATACATAGGATGTGATTTAATAAAATCCACCCTCGATCTGCAGACTTGTAAATAGGAAATACAAAAGGGTGTCCTTGCCAACACACAGACTCCTATGCATAAATGCAAGGCCTGTCAACTAAAATTTTGTGCCTCTTTTTCTATTCTCCTAGCTTTAAAAAAACCTGCAATTCAATGCAGTGGTTAGCTGCAAGGGAAAACATGTAAATTTTTAGCCATCTATTAGAAATAAGTGTGTCATGCATAATAGAAAAGAGGGTGCCTCCTATGGAAACCTATTTTGAGATGCATCCATTTAAAGGAAACTGAGAACTCAAAATTAGGTTAAACCTGAGAAACTGAGACCAAAAATACTCAAAGGCAAAGAGTTTCAGGAAAGAAAAAGGAGGGCCTGTGCTAAAGTAATCTTAATTCCACACCAGCAGAATGGTTTTCCATTTCCGAGGTCAATCAAGAAACCAAGTGGAAACCACTGAGTTGAAATAGATATGCTGTCCAAGACGGGAGCCAGGTATGAGAGGAGGACCTGGAATCCTTTCTATGGTGAAGCTGCAAGCTCCTAGAAGCTTTTTCTTTTTCTAATTTGCTGAGGACCTCGCCAAGAGGTGGAGGCTGGCCTCGAACTTAGGATCAGAAACGTGTATTGGCTATCGGCTGTGCCCGCATGGACTTCAGCCCAAGCCAAACCACAACTAATGATATTTGCTGAGTTTCTCAGACAACATGGTTAGAGTGCTTTGAGAATTAATGGTGAAGAAGGACCTCAATGAATACTCCATTTCATCGGATGGTAATAATCTTTATCTTCAAACAACATAAATATTAACAAAGACACACACAGCCACCTTATTTTAAAAAGCTGATTGCATAATTTTACCAAGCGGAGAAAAAATACTCCTCTTCATTTCAATATGCTAAATAATTGTTTGGCTCTATAACAGATGTTTTTGGACTTTAAAACATGCTCCAACATATTTTATATCACTTAAAGCTTCATAAACAACTTACTCATTTCAAGATACTCATAAAATAATCCCAGCTTGCCCATGGGCTGCAGATGGTAATCCTGTTCCCATCGTGGGGTTTTCTTTTCTGATCCTGAAACACTGTGGTACCGTCCAATTAGATTCATGATCCAGCTGCCAAAGAGATCAATTATAATTAGATTGTTATTAGATGAAGGTCATAAAAGTATTTCACTGCAACTTGAAATCTGAACATGTATTCTTCCCAAGAAATTGATTTCTTGTTTGAATATTTCTTTTTATTTCTGTCTTCCTACTCCCCAAATATTTATCAAAATTGTAACTGGCTGCTTTTCCTCCGTGTTTTCACGTGGAAGGTTTAAAAAGATATTTTTCTTCATTTGATCAATTTCAGTTTTTTCTTGTTTTTTTACTTCCTCTCTTATTCATAATGGTCTTTCCAATATGGACAGAATATGTGAGTTGGCAATAAGTGCAATGGAGAAAAATAAAGCAAGACCAGGATTGTTTCCAGGGAGGACTGGTGTGGTGGAGGATAACTGGAGTGATATTTGAACAAGGACACGGGGGAGGGTAGAGCAGCAGAGGCAAGAGCTTCCTGAAAGAGAAACAGTGATTGCAGACACCCAGAGTCAGGAGCAGACCCCCACCTTGGAATACAGCACGGAGGAGGCTCCCATGGCTCAAGGTTAGTGGGAAACAGGGGTCTAAGAGATCTCCACTATGAGCATTTGGATGGTTTTAATTCTGAGGGAAGTAGGGAGCCACTGAAGGGCACTAAGCAGGAAAGTGACAAATTGACATTAGACAATATAGCTCTCACTAGATAATATGGGACTACACAGCTGAACAATTTAAGGACCTGAGAAGTGCAATGCCCCGTTGAGGTCATAGGCAGAGCTAGGAGAAGCAGCTCTGCCTACTACAGGGGTCCACCCTCACAGAGCCTTTCCTCTTAGATGTCATGTTTTTCTTTCTGAAAGCCTTGTGGCCCAGATCAACGCTTTCTCACTTTTAATGGCAATTTTTTTTTAAAAAAATATTTATTTTAGTTGTAGGTATACACGATGAACTTTGTTATTTTTATGTGGTGCCTAGGATCAAACCCAGAGCCTCGCGTGTGCTAAGCGCGCGCTTTACCACTGAGCCACAATCCCAGCCCTTTAATGGCAATTTGCCCTGAAAAGAAATCTTAGTTGACAGTACAATGAGGTGTGCACCTAGTATAAAGAACCATTGTCCCCTCCAGCCACAGCCAGCTTGTGGTCGACTTGTGGAGTTCATCAGAAGAGGCGCCGTAACAAGAAGCAACTTCAAGTACACATGGAACATCTGGCTAAGCTTTGGCTGATTAAACAACAGGTTTGTGTGAGGCCTCTTGGGACTACAAAAAGTTGCTGCAAGAAACCACACAGACCATCATGCTCTTCCTCGTGAGTACACACTGCTCACACACACGAGCCAGACTAAGACAGGACTGAGGTGCTCTCTGTGCTGGGATTCCCACTGCCACTCATCCCAGCGCTAACTTGGCCTGCACACTACCCAGGCCCTCCTCAGGGGAGATGCTGTGCCATGGAACATGGCCCCAGCTTCACAATCTTTCCCCATTTGTATTTCATTGATAAAATCATGGAGGCAATAGGGAGCTGAAGAAAGTGGAAGGGATTTGACTCAGATAATCCTGAATCTGAACCCATATTCATCGCTTACTAGCTACATTTACTTTGGTAAAGTTAAAATAAGGTGATACTTCCATCATGTTTGGTGAGATGCTTGCACCCCTCTGGTGTAATATAAAATAGAGTGGCCACTTTGTTCTCAGTTCTTGGAGTATTTACAAAGGAGTGGACTTGCTAGGTACCGTGGTGATTCTATGCAATCAGTCCGGTGGTTCCCCCCAAAACGGAACAGTTATTCAAACACACACATCAATATTCTTAGCAGCAATATTCATAATAGCCAAAAGGTGGAACCAACCCACATGTTCATCAGTGGCTGAGTGGGCCAATTAAACACCGATTCGATGGAATAATATTCAGCCACGAAAAGGGATGAAGTAATGCTATGCCATTCTCAAAAGGATTATTCTAGGTGAAAGAAGCTAGATGAACCAGTCACATATTGTATGATTGCATTTGTACTAAATGGTAGACCAGGCAACTCCATTAAGACAGCAAGCAGATTAGTGGCTGTCAGGGTTGGATGGGGGGATGAGGAATGAGCAGGTACCACATTTACTTTTGGAGTGAGGAAAATGCTTTAGAAATGGAGGTGATGGCTGCAGTAAGTTTGTGAATGTTCTTGATACCACTGAAATGTAGAACTGTTGAATTTTATTTGTTTTTTTGTGTGAATTTTAAATAACATAAAATAATTCATACTTAAATATTAAAAAAAAAAGGAAGGTGATAAAACATTGTCCAGGGCTGCTATCAGGATTAAATGATTCAAAACAGGTCAAGGCTTTAAAACATTTCCTAACACGCCCATGGCCCCTGTATGGGATTTCCTGTTGACCATCACAGGCCACATTGGCTGAAGCCCACTGAATTTCTGGCCTCCATCACTGGGAATCTTGGCTTGGGTATGCTTGGCCACCTGGACCAGTGATTGTCATTTCAGTACTCAAAAGAGGGATGTGGAATGCTTGCTAACAGTGCAGCTTCCTGTACCTAAAGCCAGGGAACTGAGGCACGTCCCGGGATCTACAGTTTTACACCAATCCCAGGGACCTTGTAACACAGCCAGTTCTGAGATCCACATTTGCCCACCATCCTTCATGACACCTAATCTCAAGGTTATTTGGGTTTTTTTGATTTATTTTTTTGCTCTCCCTCCCTTCCAACCTCAGTCTCCTGAGTCTTCTCCATGTCCCCAGAGAAGCAGATATTTCTCTGTATGGCCCCAAATCCATCATCATTTGGATTCAGATGAAGCTTTTTTATCTTGTTGCATTACTAACTCATCTGGTGCTTTCATTCCTACTGCTCTGTCTCCCCACTCATCATGGATCAGATGACAGGTATTTCCAACTAGTTTTCTTTTCTAGCTACACACTCTGAGTCTCTAGTTCAGCTGAACTCCTCATCTGTAGAAGCTTCTACCCACTGTTTCCCTGAGTCTTTTGGGTTTTCTAATGGACTATATCTCTAATACTGGGTTTCAATCTTGACTACCTACACATGAGAATCACTTACAGAGCTTTTAAAAAGAGCCAGAGGGGAGAAGATCTGGTATAAGGCTTTTAGAAGCAGGGCAGTGGTTACAAAAGAATTTCTTTAAAAATTTTCTATGTATGTGTTAGCCTAACCTCATTATAATAAGCTGCCCTTTACTTAGTACTTATGTTAATGTGATGCACCTCATAGCTTTCTTTTGGACTTTTCTTTATCATAATTAACTCACCTACTAAACATAGTTACCTATTCTGTTTAGAACATTCTACAGTGTTCCTTACTAAGCTTCAAAGACGAGAATCCCTTACTATCTGAATATATTTCACACCTGAGTTCACTGTTCTTGAATTTAAAGGGTAACTATGGGTAGTGAAGGCTACCTGCATTTAGCCTCCTCTGATTGTATGTCTCTGGAGCATCCTATAGCTAGATCACATCTTGCAAAAGGATACCTTTCCCTATGTTTCATTTCTCTTATTAGTGAATACTTATTGTAGAAAACATAGAAAATATGGAAAGGAAGAAAATTATAATCATCCACTATCTAACCATCAAAAGACACTAATGCCATATGCATTTTGGATGTTTAATTATTTTCCTCAACATGTTATCATAAAAATTTCGGAGTAATTTGCTTAACACAGGAATTGTACTAGCTTTTTTTTTTTTGTTCAAGTATAGAATAAAGCAAATTCCCAGGAATGTCTCAAATAAGTGGTACTTAGAAGGCCAAAGGGCTCCGAGTTTGTTCTGTGGTTTACTGATGCTCTGTACTTGAAGCATTTGAGGCACTTAACCATCTGATGGTTCATGCCAAGTGCCTGCTCAATGCCAAGGTCCAGTCCATGTATGGGAGACCCCATAGGGAATGTGGCCACAGTGCCAGATATGCTATTTCTCTGGTTCCAATTTTCCTAGTCAAAAATATATTTCACTATTTTCCTTTTGACATATTAACTTGACATGAAAACAGCTGCTGACTTAGAAAGGAAAGAAAAGCCTTATGTCTATTTTTGCGGTGGGTGTAATCCTGGGAAGCAAGGATGACTGTTATATCGTTGACATGCTAGGATTTTGTACAAACAATTGTAAGGAGAACCTTTGACTTGGAACTTACAGAAAGGAGAAGCCCCTCTCTAATTTGGCTAACACTTGGCATTCCCAGCTTTTAAACGAAGGAGGAGATCATTTAAAACATACTAAAGAAATACTTTAGATCAGCAGTAGAAATATCTAAAGGTCACTGTAATTTTTAACAATGGACCTACTTGAAATGAAAATATAAACAGGCTGTACAGACTATAAATCATCTTTTATTTAAAAAACATCCCCTGTGAACAAGTTTCATTTTGTATGAATTTCTCAATACTAGGTTTAGGAAATCTACCCTCCCCACTACATTTTCAAATTGGAGAATAGTTCACTACTGAACAATTAATTATCAAAACTTGGGGTTAAATAATTAATATGCTTTGCTTAGAAAATGCTTTTTAATAATGTAAGAATAAGTTAAGACTTTCCTTTGTTTCTATGTGAAAATATAAAAAATAAACATAGTATTATTTGTGTACGACCTACTTTTACTTATCTGGAAAAATCTGAATATTAACTGAATGAAAGTAAGGGTTGTTTTCTGCACAGTAGGATTATAAAATATTAATTTCACAGCTAAAGCCAGAATCCCTTTCTGGGAAAGGGGTGGGAAAAGGTGAGATATTTTTGTTTAGAGAAAGACTCTGGAGGTTCACCCTGAAGATGGTGGAGGAAGAAATCCAGAAGGATGTACTGAAACCCAGTGTCAGTTAGCACTGCCCAGGAGGAAGGACGGAAACCAGACTGGG